CGTGTATGTCGTCGTTAATTGTAAGAGTGCGTGTGAGTGTATTTGATATTTCATTGTAGAGTGAGCGTGAACGTATTTGCGTCATTGTCGTGCTTATTACGCCGCCGAAAAGAGCATAACAAAGGGTAACAGAATATTGTCGTCTTTGTCGCGCTTATTACGCTGTCGAATGGCGCGTAATAAATGAGATGTAGCGTCTGCCGAATTCATCGGGTGTGGTGCGAGATAATCGCCAGAGGATTGAGAGTAAAATTGAGCGATTTGGGCGTAAGAAAGAGGCGAGATATCGGCGGAGAAAATTCTCCGTCTGCCGTCGGCTATAGAAGTTTGAGAATATCGTTCGCCTATCGCATACATTATCTGTCTTCGCAAAATTATTCAGTATTTTCGGTTACTTATGTTGTCGAAGTAGTAAGCTGTCGATTTGTTTCGCGAACTAGGAAATTGCGGGGAAAATTCCGTTGCGATAAGTTGGAGATCTGGCTACCGAAATTACGCTATCGTTTGAATAATCTCCGCGAATATTTTCGTGCCGAAAATCTTTGATATTCCGTGAAGTCTTGCTCTGTCCCGCAAACTCCGGCCATAAAAACGGGCTCGGATGAATAATCGAATTGTCTTAACGCTCTCGTTTTCGTTGTCGAATGTGAGCAGGTACTTGTTCAGAATACCGTCGCGACTTTCGTGCCAGGATTAATTGTATTGTATTTTTCGCTCCCGTATTTCGTATGAATTTGTCGTGAAGCGTCGTTCTTTTTGTTATTTGTATGATTCGTTCTCGTTTTCTTTCGGAAAGTTAATAGCGAACTAATATCTTTGTAAGGAATTGTTAATCTCAGTTCAATTATCGCTTATTATTGTTTGCTGAGTCATTGTTCAAAACCGGTCCAATTCTTATTATTGATTTGTTAATTATTCACTCGTAGTGTTACTTTATTTTTCTAGTAATAAACTTGTTATCTTTTTTTGTTCAAATCGCGTAATTTATTTAAGTGTTCGTCTCGCTTGGTTGTCGATTGTCGTGTTGTCTGTCGTCCGTTAATTCCGCGAAGACTCGCATAATCAATTAACTTTCTCTAATAACCCCTCCCCTCTACCGTTAGGCGAGTTAGTCGGCCCGTGGCGAAGCAGGATATCGTTTTCTTTTATTGTCTTTCGGCTTTTCGCGAAAACTGATGCGTGGAAGACCGCATCTGGCGCCCAGCTTTTCGATATATCGATACGGTCTCCGCTCCGCCGCAGCTCGCGCGAGAACGTCCTCCATCCCTGTTCCTCCGAGCGCGGGTATAATCATTTCGTTATTGTTTTTGACGGCGTTTTCGCTCCCCCGCGCACGCTCCCATCCAACATCCCGGGGAGTGTCGCAATTCATTTTGAATTTCAATTGAAGAAACGTCGCAATATATATATATAATTCTAATGTTACATTATTTATATATACATATGATTATAATTACATTATATTTACATCTTAATATGCAAGTAAATTCATATAAGATATATTTTTATTTAAACAACATTTATTTCAATTTATACTGTTTTAAGAAAGCAACTTTACTATCTTATAACTTCAAAATCGTTCGAAAATTCGGACACATATTTATTAACATTTTCCACTTGGTTTCATGTCCTAAAGCCAAAAATGTTAATAAACATATGTGTCCGAATGGTTTTGTAGTTTCAAAGTAATAAAGTTGCTTTCTTCTAATAAATTGAAATAAATGTTGTTTAATATTTGTGGCGTCCCTGACGCTCGCCACATCGAGCGCGATCTCAGGAAGCGCCGACCTGACGCTCGCCACATCGAGCACGTTCTCGGGAAGCGCTGACTAGAATCATGAAGTTGGCGCAACATCAGTTTTAATTAATGCCGCTGAAAGGCGCGGCAGATTAAGATAATTTTCTCGCTATCGGAAAACATTGAAAAGTGTACATAAGAAGATGCGGTCAACGACTTATCAATCACTTGTAACCTCGCAACAAATAGCTTATAGCTATTCAGCGAATTCTCTTTTGACTCTTGTGATTATTCTCTCCTCCGAGACCTTCGAGATTCTCCGAGACCTTCCAGATCTACGAGATCCACGAGATCTCCAGATCTTCCAGAACCTCGAGTCATCCAGATCTTCGAGAACCTCGAGTCCTCCAGATCTTCGAGAACCTCGAGTCCTCCAGATCCTCCAGATCTTCGAGAACCTCGAGTCATCCAGATCCTCCAGATCTTCGAGAACCTCGAGTCCTCCAGATCCTCCAGATCTTCGAGATCCTCGAGTCCTCAAGATCCTCTAGACCTTCAAGAACCTCGAGTCTCCCAGATCCTTCAGACTCTCAAGTCTTCAAGATCCTCCAGACCTTCTAGATCCTCGAGACGTCCAGATTCTGCCTAATCTTCCAGACCATCAATACCTCCGAGACCTACTAGATCTTCAAGATCTCCAAGATCTTCCAGATCTACTAGACCATCCAGATCTTCGGAGATCTTCCTCTATGGCCACTGACCCTCGGAAAGTTATCCAGTTTCTTCCCTGGAAACTTATACCAATAGACCTGGTCGAAAGAAGATTCTCTCGAAGATTTTCTCCCATCCCGGTGACTCCTAGAGCATCTCCACCAAGGACTCCTCGTTCCTCCAACAGAAAATCTAGGGGAATTCAAACCGAAGCAAGAAATAGTCGAGGAGAAAAACTAGCGAAGATTAGGATAACTAAGACCTCGCCAAGAATAACTTGGCAACCAAAAATCATTGAAATAAATAATAATGTAAATAAATAATAAATAAATATTAATGTAAAAAAAGTCCACAATATTATTTCAGAATTTTTAATCATCTTTGGTAAAGTTTAAACAAAATAAATAACATTAAATAACATTTGTTTCAATTTATATTGTCCTAAGAAAAAAATTTTATTACATTATAACTTCCAAACCGTTCAAAACTGGACATATGTTTATTAACATTTTCGACTGGTTTTTATATCCTAAAATTGCTATATCAATTTTGGCATTGAGTTCAGAGACATCTTGTAGTTCTATTAACTCTCTATAACATATATAGTTTTTAAATAAAAAATACACTTAAAAAAATTAAATTTGTTTACCACATTTTATTCTTATCTCTCTCTTTCTCTCTCTCTCTCTCTCTCTCTCTCTCTCTCTCTCTGCCCCTCTTTTTTTCTTATTTTATTACCTTTCCATTCTCCTCAAACATTTCATTATTTTTCTGTCAATCTCTCTATACCATTCACATTCTGTCATTTATATCCTCTCTTTCTCTTTCTCTGTCTGTCTATTTCTCTTTTTCTCTCACACTCTCTCTGTCTGTCTGCCTCTTTCTCTCTCAATGTGATTCTAATACATACATACATTTATATACAATTATATACACACATACATACATACAAATATAAACATACAGTATAGTACACGTTAATGATTCGTTCCGTTTTTTCCTAGCGTAGGTTTGTAATATAAAAGTAAAAACATTTACAATATCTTTTTTTCCTTTTTTTTCTCTCTCTTTCTCTCTTCTTTTTCTTTTTTTTTATTTAGGCTTCCTTTACTTTAAATAAAATGTAAACCCGTATTATTTAATAAAAATATTTAATATTCAACTTCTTCAACTATAACTAAAAAGCAACAACATTAAAAATGCATTTTCAATATTGTTTTTATTATTAACATGTACTGTACATATATGTATCCAAACATATAAATACGCACATTCCTCTTTGTTTCTCTTTCTTCGTTTTGTCTTCTGTGATTTTCTCTCACTTTCTCTTTCTTAACCTACCTTTTTCAATCTTCTTTCATGAATCTTTTCTTCTTTCTTCTTTTTCTTTCTCTTTTTCTCTTCTTTTTCTTTTCTTTTTATTTAGGCTTCTTTAACTCTAAATAAAAAGTATACACATAATATTTAATAACAATATTTAATATTCAACTTCTTCAACTATAATAAATAAAAATAATAAATAAAAAGCAATAACATTAAAAATGTATTTTCAATATTTTTTTATATTTAATTCTTTTCTTTCTTTTTTTCAATCTCTCAATTTCTCCTTCTCTCCTTTTTTATTATCTTATTTTCTATCTCTCTCTCTCTCCTCTCTCTCTTTCTCTCTGTCTGTTTCTGTCTTTCAATGAATCTTATACATATATTTATAAAAATTATATATACACATACTATATATATATATATATATATATATATATATTCAGAATGTTTAGTTTTTATTCATTTATTTTTTGTTTTTGTATAATATGTCTAAAAAGAAAGACTGAAAAGAAAGACTAAGATTTATGTTTGTTTCTTGTTCTAATAAAACGTTACTTTTATTTTAAAATACAATGTTTTATTTACTGTTCATTTTTCTTAAATATACAATATTTAAATAAATATTTTTGCAAAAATTTCATCTCTTCTTGAATATTTTTCACCTATACCACTTACTCCTGCTGCATCTATCATATCTTCATTATTGTTGACGTTATCATCAATGTCAATTTCGTCTTCATTATTCACACAAATGTTATGTAACACAGCAGCAGCTATAATACATTTTACTATTAACGACAAATCATTATTTTCGAAAAATTTGAGCCTTCTGATCCTTCCTTTCAATAATCCGAAAGCATTTTCGATTATAATTCTTGTTGCAGAATGACGATAATTAAATATTTTTTGATTTGGCGTTAAGTTACCATTATCTTTAAATGGACAAATCAACCAATCTAAACAGGGATATGCCGAATCTCCCAATAAAAATTTTTTTCCCAAAAATCCATTTAAACCCTTTCTATGCAAAGAAGATTTTTTTAAAAGGCGACTGTCATGAATAGATCCTGGTTCACCACAGAGAAAATTAATAAATTTTTTTTGATAATCACAAACTCCTTGTACAAGAAGACTATAATCTCCTTTTCTATTATAATATACGTAATGGTATTTGGAGATTTGCTTTTTAATTTTTATGTGGCTCCCATCTATAACTCCAACTACCCCATCAATTCTCTGTATTGGAAAGATACCACAGGGTCATTAAAAATGCTTCTCGTGCACATATCTTCTCTCTTCCAATATTATGTTGTAAAACATCTTCAGTTTCAATCATATCTAACATTTATGCAAGTTAAATTTATTTATCAGTTTAGTTTAGTTCAGTTCATTTATATATCAGTGGATTATCATATTTACCTATTATTAGATCAACAGTTGAACGATTTAGTCGAAAATGCTCTTTAAATTCTTTATCATCGTATTCTTCCACAGTTTGCATAAAAGTAGTTATTCGATGTAACTTCCTTCTGGGAGGATCTGATGAGTCGGAGCAATCCGAGGATGACGATTCAGAAGAGAAAAAAATTTTTGATTCATTCGAATCTGTACTAGTCCAATCCGATTCTGAATCGTCTTTTGAAATCTAATGGTATATGATGTATATTTAAGCAATAGCATAATATTTATTGTATATTTAAGTGATAAACGATTAGTATCTATTAACTTACCTTCATAATAATATTGGGAATAAAAGTAGTCATCTTTAGTTTAAAACCAACTCACAATAATTAGGACGTTTAAAATACTTTGAGGTTATTCAGAATAATCTCACTTGTTGCGATGTGTTTTCACGGTTTTCACGATTGGAGATCTAACGAAAAGCAATATTGCCAACATAAAAAACAAATTTATGCAATATCGATATACTATAATACATCTAATGATATTATCTTGCTTACGAAAATAAATTACGTGATCAAAGCTAGCACATGGAATTATTACGCGATGCTTGTAGTTGTAGTTACACGTTATGGCTCGTTCCTTTTACGTATTGAACGATGACATCATTATCTGAGTATAACATACTCACATAATTTTAGACTCAGTATCACTTGTGTGAAAATGGAAAGCAACTATTATCAATGTCACCTAACATCATTCAAAAAACATCGTTTATTTATGCAAGCGATTGAGCAATTGCATTGATTTTTATGGACAACACTTTAAATATCTCTTGCAATAAATTTCATGAAAATAATATTAAGTTAAGGACGTTAACAAACATTAGGAATTACTATGTACATTATAGGAAATTGCTTCCTCAGATATATTTTCTAAATCTACTATATTAAATATCTCGTTATACAGAGTGTATCTTATAAAAAGTTGACTACATTTTTCTCGAAAACCAAAGCTTTGATCGAAAAATGTTTCCTACAAAAGTTTTATGACTTCGAGGGGGACATAAGATAGTGCCATTGGTTTAAGTGTGGTGCTTAGGTGTAGGTGCCAAGGTTATATAAAGGCTAACCTAGTTTTTTTAAATGAATTTGACATAATTTTACATAAACTATAAAATATCTCGTAAAATATTCATTTTTCAATTATTTTACCTCAATACTTTTATGCACAGAATAATGAGAAGAATCAATTGATATAAAGAAAACAATGTTTTAAAAAAATATAAATTTGCAACGAGCACTTACATATTTCTTTAAAACAATACCAATTGATTCCTCTCATAATCGAAAAATGAATATTTTATGAAATGTTTCATTCTTTTATAACTTTTTACACAAAATATTACGAGGAATTTATTGATATAAAAAATTAGTTACGAAGAATTGATTGATATAAAAAATTAGAGTAGTTCCATTAAAAAAACTAAGTTGGCTTTTACAAAATTTTAGAATCTACACCCAAGGTCAAATTAATAGCACCATCTTATATTCCCATCGAAGTCACAAAACTTATGTACGAAACATTTTTCGATGAGTCTTGATATTCGAGAAAAATTTGATGAACTTTATCAGATGCACTCCGTATATTTAAAAAATGATTTACAGGGTATTTTATTTTAATCTTATCAGGCAAATATCTCAAAAAATATAGAAGACATGGAAAAATGTTTCAAATAAAAGTTTTATGACTCGGAAAGGGACATAAGATGATGCCATTTGTTTAACTTTGAATAGTCGTTTAAAGAGCATGTAAAGATTACCTTCAATTTCTTAAATGAAAATCCCCATTTTCTTGTAGCTTCCTCGAGAGCTTTTCAAAACACTATAATAAAGTTTTTTTTAAAGTACTTTTTAAGTTTTAAGGCTTGAAAGTTACAGTACCGTTGACATTAACATTACTCAAAGTATACCACGTGTAGGTTACATGGTCGAATTTACACTTTTGATGTGTTTCTGTGTATATGCATGTATGCACAAATACATAGAAATGTAAATTTGATCGTGCAACCTCCATGCGTTACCTTGAGTAATGTTAATGCCGATGGTACTGTAAATTTTAAGCCTTATAACTCGAAAAGTACTTAATGAAAAAATACTTTATATATTGTTTTGAAAAGGTTTGAAGGTAAGCTACAAGAAAATGCAATAAAAAATGGGGTTTTTCATTTAAGAAATTGGTGATCTTTACGTGCTCTTTAAATGACTATCCAAGGTCAAACAAATAGCACCATCTTATGTACTTCTCGAAGTCATAAGACTTTTATCTGAAACATTTTCCCGTATTTCTCATATTTTTCAGGATATTTGCCTGATAAGATTAAAATAAAACACCCTGTTTAAAACATATCGTTGAACTTGAAATTCTCTTTTGACATAATAAAAAATATATATCTTAATAAATAAATCTTTTTAAATTGAAAGGAATTAGGCTCTATATGTATTTAAACAACACGACAAGAAACTAGCGAATAAGAGCTATCGCGGATGGTAATGCGTAAATTTTAATTGTTCGCGATAATTTAAACGAGTACGAGACATATGCATATGTTTCACTTGGCGCATTTACCAAGATATAGATTCTCATTTTTGAGAATTCTATAAACCTTCTTTACCCCCCTGAAGAGATGTAAACGAGAAAAATATCGGAGCGAAGTCGCTGAATCGGGAATAGAACCCGAGTCTTTCGCTTGCCGGCTGCTCTTACCACTGAGCTATTCAGCCCCACAGCAAACCCGAGCCTTTCGCTTTCGGCAAGCAAAAGACTCGGGTTCGATTTCCGATTTAGCGACTTCGCCCCGATATTTTTCTCGTCTACATCTCTTCAGGGAGGTAAAGAGGATTTATAGAATTCTCAAAAATGAGAATCTATATCTTGGTAAATGCACCAAGTGAAACATATGCATATGTCTCGTACTCGTTTAAATTATCGCGAACAATTAAAATTTACGCATTACCATCCGCGGTGGCTCTTATTCGCTAGTTTCTTGTCGTGTTGTTTAAATACATATAGAGCCTAATTCCTTTCAATTTATTTAATTCACGCGGAGCTGAAAAGATCGCGTTTCATTATTTTCATAGATATAAATAAATAGACGAGGGGGATATCGGTGTGGGGCTGAATAGCTCAGTTGTAAGAGAACTCGCCCGGCAAGCGAAAGACTCGGGTTCCCGATTCGGCGACTTCGCCCTGATATTTTTCTCGTCTACATCTCTTCAGAGGGGTAAAGAGGGTTTATAGAATTCTCAAAAAGAGAGAATCTGAGAATTTATATCTTGGTAAATGCACTAACAGCGTAAGTGAAACATATGCATATGTCTCGTACTCGTTTAAATTATCGCGAACAATTAAAATTTACGCATTACCATCCGCGGTGGCTCTTATTCGCTAGTTTCTTGTCGTGTTGATTAAATCTTTTTACATCGTTAAGTTATCTATGTAGAAATCAGTACTAAATTTTATTTATCAAATAATTTATTGCAAGCAATTTATCGCATTTAAAGGTATCCATTTCTCTTATAAATGATATTAATGTGAAACGAAGTTTTAATTTTTTGCTCAGAATTAGCTCCAGAATTGACAGCATCAAGAATTAGCGGCTTTTCAAGCGGATACAGGTAAGTTAATTATTTTTATCACAAAGGTTGCTGTGCGCCGATACAGAACTGCTGTGCGCCTGTAAAATATGGCTGCTGTGCGCCCATACAGAGCTGCTGTGCGCCTGTAAAAACCGGCTGTTGTGCGCCGATACAGAGCTGCTGTGCGCTTGTAAAAACCGGCTGCTGTGCGTCAGTACAGAGCTGCTGTGCGCCTGTAAAAAACGGCTACTGTGAGCCGATACAGAGCTGCTGTGCGCTTGTAAAATATATACAGGGTGTCCCATTTTAAGTGTCCACCCCAAATATGTCTCATTTTTGATTTTAGAGAAAAATGGTTCAGACATGGTTTGTATGGTTTTGAGGGGGCCATAAGATGATACCATTGATTTGACCTTGAAGAGTCATTTGAAGGTCACGTGAAGGTTACCTCAATTTTTTTAAATGGCACCCCTTATTTTTTATTACACATTCTTGTAGCTGACCTCGAGAGCTTTCCAAAACACTATAATAAAATGTTTTTTTGAAGTACTTTTCGAGTTATAAAGCTCCAAATTCACAAAATTTTGATAAAAATACAAAATATTTCGTAAAACATTCACTTTTCGATAGTCTTACATGACCCAGCCAGTCAAGGCAAGATCCGAGCATGATCCAGCCAGTCAAGGCGAGATCCTGTATTGCCTGAATCAATGAACTGTAACAATTGTGAAACTGTAATTGTTAATTCTTTTAATGAAACAAATATCAAGAGGCTTGTTTCAAATTTCTTACTTGGGCAACTTTCGGTATTTTGGCGAAGTCTCAGACAGACACATATTATTATTCCTTGACTTTTTTTGATAAGACAGGAATTTTTGGTATTTTGGCGCTTTTTTTCTTTATAATTATGGCTGCTTATCCACCAAATGAAATTGTGGACATGATTCGCATTTTGGGTGAGGCTAGGAATAATTACTCGGCAGCAAAAAGGCTTTATGCTGAAAGATTTCCAGACAGACGCCATCCTGATAGGAAAGTAATAAAAAGACTCTGCGACAGAGCTGAACAGGGTTTTCTTAGAAGAAACCGGCGAAAATCGGGCCCTGATGAAGTCAGATCATTGACTGTTATAGGTGCCGCTGTTTTGAATCCTCAAATCTCCACGAGACAAATTGAGAGGCAACATGGTATATCTAAATCAACAGCCAATCGTGTGCTCAAGCTCAACAAGTTTCACCCATATCACATTCATCTAACTCAGCAATTGGAAGAGAGGGACCAACGCCATGTATGTTTTTATAACTGGGTTCGACATCAAATCCAACAAAATCCCCGGTTCATTGCTGATACGCTTTTTTCTGATGAAGCCACGTTTTGTAATAGAGGAGGCGTTAATAAACATAACTGCCATTATTATTCAGATGCTAATCCACATTAGAGAAGCCAAGAGTTCCAACGGCAGTGATCCATTAACATTTAGGCAGGCATCCTGGGAGATGTTATTGTTGATCCATATTTTTTTGAAGAAAATCTCAATGCGGCAATCTATCTAAGATTTCTTTAAGATGACCTGCCCAACCTCTTGAGACATGTCGACAATGATTTACTCAGACGAATGTGATTCCAACAAGATGGAGCACCGGCTCATAGATCTCGAGCTGTTAGACAATATTTAAACAATAGATTCCCAAATAGGTGGATTGGTATGGGCAGCTGAGTTCAAG